GATATATATTGTGTTAAATAGGAGCAATTTTAATTCTCTACCCTGATTCAGTGTTATAAAAAATCATTGGCTAATTTTAGGTTTAGTCTATAAATCCGTGGCTAGGCTAGAAGGATACTGGTTCCCACTCTAGAGCACTACTTCCCTTCCCCTGAAGGCTAACTCTCGCTTTAGTTTTTAAACACTAAGATCGAATTGTGGATTTTTAGTCTGTCACCTTAGAAATCTCCAATTCTACACCCAACAAAATATATTTCCCTATTTATTTACACTTAATCCCATGAACAAAATATTCCTTCATGGACTTAAATGTGATTCTCACTCTGTTGTAGAACTCACACTCCAATTCCCGTATCATACGTTTCACAATATATTTTAATAATTTAATTGACCAAATCGAAAAGCAAATTAAGGGCGGAGTTGAAAAACCATCACAATTTATTTAAAATTTTAACATTGACACATCCACATTTTCTCTTCATTTCACCATATATCATATTAGGGAGAAAAATAAAGAAATCTACTCAAATTTCATGAGAAAGATACAAAAAAACACAATTTTTTTATATATAAAAAGTTCATATAACAATAATAAACGAACAACACTTATATGAAATTCTTTCTTAAAGCAAATCCTTTGTAGTCTCTCTTAGAAAATATAGGAAGAAGAAATCTCTCACTTCTCTTCCTCTCCAACACTTTTTAAAGAACAATTCACACTTAAACTCACCACAAAAACTCAAATCTATAAAAAAATTAATTAACTAATGGTGTGGAATGATGTGGAATGTAAGTGTGTTGAAATAAGTGGAAGAAGTTGAAATGATACAAGAGGGGTTTATGATCAAATTTCAGCCCTAAATAGAGTCTGGGTAAGTTCTCCAATAGGTGCATCCAAAAGCTCTTCAAAAAGCGTCCAAACTAGTCAAATCTTCTAGAAACAAGGTTTCTACCGACACTTGTGTTGTCGGTGTCAGAGGTTCGTAATTAAATCCAAAGTTTCTGTCAAACGCCGTCGTTGGTGCTGAATAAATTTTGAACTTTTCCATTTTTACTCCAAATATTATTTTTTTTGCTTTTTTTTTGCTCCAAGTCCTCAAAATCAACAACCTGCAATAAAACATAGAAAGCAATAAAACATAGATATATTCCATTAAAGTGCAATATCATAAAAAATGAGTATAAAATATAGGTCTAAAAATGCATATATTTTTTGTATCAAGGTGTAGTGACTATGTTTAATATAAGAAATAACTTTATAATGATTTGTCTTAATTGTAAGTTGGTTGTTTGTGTAAGAAAATTATATGAAAGATATATCAAATGAGGTTTAATCAAAATCGAGGTAATGACTTAACCTCTTGAAATTTCAAATTCAAGATCACTTCCCTATTGCCCAAAAATTTCACTATCATGTGGCAAAATTGCGGTAATGACTTAGAAAGAATTAATAATGGGGGGCTGAAGATGAAATTATAAATTTGAGGCGAGTCAACCACCAAGAAGTCTTCCATGTTTATAAGTTATTTATCATTCTCCCCCAAGTAACTGACAACACAATAGTCCCTGATGTTTTTGATAAAAATGCTAATAATATGGTAGATGTTGATCAGTTCTATAATGATGGTGGCATCATTGTAAGGGTAATGCTTATAATATAGATCCTCATCAGTAAAGGCGATGGGGGGATATGAGATGCGTCTAGGAGCGATAATGAATGCAGATAGTTCTCCCGATCGAAGCCTTTCAGACTAGCTCAGTGAGCTGAGTCTTCTTCTCCTACGAAGATAGTAAGAACTATGCCAACAATATGGATGAAATTGACTTAAACTGGCTAGTACAAAATTTTCTTCGCCGGAACTTTTCCTTCCCCCTAGCTCATTGCTTCTAGAGATACAAATTCCTTTAGTTTTATAGCCTTTATCAACTCCTCGACTAGGCTTCAGAGGTGTGACATTCCTCCATGTCATGGTTGTGGTCTCAGTGATAGGTGCAATATTTCTTTGAGTCTCGGAGGCAAGCTTGAATTTTCATAATAAAACTCTCTTGAAGTACTCTTTATTTTGGATGACCTCAACAATCTCAACAATTGAGACTTTCAATATAGTCTTTTTTAGTGGTTCGTGATTGTGCACCGGGCCCTCGTTATACCGAGATGGTTAATGGTCAAAATATTGAGCCTAATTTTATCAGTTATAGTTATATTTGTCACCTTATAGACCTGAGGTGATCAAACATCTTTATCGTGGACAGGCGCAATGACGTAAGTCATCTCTTGATCTTCACCCATCATCATGAGGAGGCTTCTTCTTTGGGTGATGGGTGGAGGATTCTCCTCTGGAAGAAGAAGGGGCGGAGTTTTACTCCTTAGTTGATATATGGTTATTAGTCATTTCCATCAATTCAACCAATGTCTTCGGTCATTGCAAACCCAAAAAATACCAACAAGGTCTTTCTTTCAGGTCTTGAGCTAGGGTGACATGAGCTAATCTGGGTTTCAAATCTCGCACTTCGAACATCTCCTTCTAGAAGCAAGTAATGAATGAGTGAAGGCTCTCTTTCTGCCTTGTTTAATATACAAAAAGGCCTGTGATTTTTTTATATGGATTTTGGGTTTTGGAAAACTTTGCCACAAACATGCACTTGAAGTCAACGAACGACGTCATTCCTCCCATTAGTATTGCATTGAACCTCCTGAGCGCCAACTGCTTCCGTGCGGTGAAGAAAAGATGGCACTTCAGAGTGTAGGTGATCCTCAGTAGATGCACAATCGACTTGAAGGGGACCATTTTGTCTGTTGGATTAGTTTTTCCCTTATAGAACTCCAATATCAGGATCATTAACCTCTTTGAGGGCTTGACCTTAGAGATTCGTCAAGAGAACATATTCTCTAGTTGTCGGTGGGCCTCAATACTCCCAAACCAATGTCTGTCAATTGGTGTAAACCCAACATTGACAATGTACTAAGGTTGGGAGTCTCCTTCTCTGTTCAAAGCTAGGGAAGATCTTTGGTTGTTGAGCGTTAGTCCTTCCACTCAGGGATACTGCTCCCTTCCCCAGAGCCAGTACCTCTCGGATTACATCTAGCATATCATCATTCAACTCCTATATTTGTTGGTTCACAAACTCTCATGTGCACTTTTATTATTAGTGTTTTTATTATGGATTTCTTCTCAACGTGCCACTCTTGTGGTTATCTGTGACATGATCAATGCTGACCGTATCTAATATTATGTTGAACCCTGATTTGTCTATAAATCACATCGATGGAATAAAGCGTAAGAAACAAGACAGAGATACAGAGAGGAGAGAGAACATTAATAAATAATAGAACGACTCCTATTTTTCTTTATTCTTAAAATTATATCCCTATTTTTATGGAAGATGGTACAATATAGTGATATTTTATGTATTATATATATATATATATGAGATGATTGCTTGGTTACTCTCTAGCTCGACCGACTAGACCAATTTGGTTTCAACATGGTGAGGCCTTTCCGATCGGCGAGGCTTAGTTGGTGTTGTTGGTAGGCTAAACTTGATTAGCTTTGGGTCGACGGACTAACACGAGTTTGTAAGCTTTGCTAATCGATTGTTTTAGTGACTCTTGACCCTGGATCTGTGTATGAAGAGCTTCTGTTAGCGGGGTAAGAATATACTATTGGGCAGAGGGTGATTCACTGTAACCCGATAGGTAGTTCATTTTTCGACAGAGGGATTTAGTGGGATGACTATAAGACTATTCTATTTACCAATTCTTGATCTCTGATGAGCAGTCTCAAGGGTCGGACCAAGGTGTTTGTGAGGAATTGGATTCTTCCCTTGGGTAGGATTTATCAGAAGTGGGTTGATGTCATATGTCAACTTTCTTGCATTGGTAAGCTTAGATGCTTATCTAACTTGCTTTAATCAAATTGGTTCAGACTCAAATCGTTCGGTCATTCTTTTTGTTATTCTCTTAATTTGGTTGGCATTCAGCTTTGATTCAGATAACAACATGCGATTGAATAATTAGGCCTCCTGGTCTTTTGTCGTTGGGCCCTCATTCATTGTACTTCCACCATTCTAGACAGTAGAATTCCATTGGAATCCGACATATTTTTGATGTACATTAAATAAACACTAATTTTTTAAAAAAAATTCTCAAATGTAATGAACAAATTTTGAATACGTGCATGAACAATATCTTTAATTTCAAATGTTGTTTGCCACATATGTAGAGTTCACTAGATGCCAATTTTGATAATTACAAACATGTTTTCATGCAAAGCATATCCCATATTGATCGGAGCAAGTTTTATGCAATAAAAGTCAAATATCAGTATAATGCCAACAAATAACTGGCCTAACTAACACAAACACCAACCATCATAATCACTCAAAATTATTGAGTCTTGAACTAACAATACTTATAAGAACACATATCATGATTATGTCTTATCAAATGTTATATTTTGTTGAAACATAAGACTTCTATCTTATCATTAAAAAAAAACTTCTCAAATATATTATAACTTAGTCAAATATAAGGTCTTCAACACAAAAATATAAATATTTTTTTGTCAACCTCAAGTATTAATTATGATAATTATTTAATAAATTAAGCTTATATAACTAATTAACAAAATAAAATATGATAATATGAATTTGGCCTCATTTTAAATGTGATTTAGTTTGGCCATTCTAAAATTCATTATTTTTGCTCAAAATAAATATTTTACCTAAAATTATGATATTCACATGAACCACATCATAAATTTTTCCCCCATCAGAAAACCTTCACGATTCTGCAAATTAAGTTTAAGTCTAAAATTTATGTATGTCGTGTTCCTGCAAATATCGCAGTGAACATAGTTGGGGATATATATGTACGAGGACACGTAATAGCTGATGATTGGTCCGGAGATAAAAAATACAAATTACAACATTTCTTACAAAAATACCCCTGAGTAAAGTCTGGTCTACGTCGATCAGCCGAAATATTGGCTACAGCTGCCGCCCTTAGCCCTCGATTTCGTATGTATTTTATCTTCGTAATTATAGTTCCTCAACTCCTAACTGGTTTTCTCTATATTTCGTAGAACGACAAATTTTACAAAATTTGAGAAAATTTTTGTGAAACCCTAGATTTCTAATCGGGGTTTTGTCATCTTGATCTACTGATTCGAAGGTGAGTTTGTTACTCCGATCCCTTTTGTGTTCTATTTTTGCTTCATTGGCTGCTTACTGCCAGTTTTGGTCATTTAATTTTACTGTTGGTTTATTTCTCTGGAGGTCGGCAAGCGGATTTGAAGTAATTCTCTTTACTTGAACGAGTTAGTTTTAGTTATGATTTGGGGTTTCTTGCTTGGATTGGAAATTTATTAGGTTTTCAATTAATTTCGAAGCTTGTGGATGGTTGTTTAGCAGGTTTGGATTTCCGTTAGTGATTTTTGTTGCTTAGTTATCTTTAAGTGCTTTATCAGTTTATGTTTGTTAAACATAGTGCCGGTTGATTAGATAGAGTGGCTATGCTAAGGATTTCCTTTTTTTTTGGTAATGTTAGTGTGTTCATGTCTATTTGTTTTTTTTTAAAAGGAATTTATCGATTTTGTGCTGCAAATTTTATTTTTTGGTTAAAGTACTTGCTTTGCTTCGCTTTTTGGCTTTAAATTTGTATTTAGAATCATGATTTGACAGTTTAGAACTTAGTAGGAACTGTTTTCTCAAGCGTAATGTTTTGCTCATAAAGATGTTATTGAGCTGCGCGTTTTGGTAACCCACATTGTTTCTCTTTTATATATTTATCTCTCTGTTTTGCTTTGTTTGGGCTAACAAAATGAAAAAGCTGAGATTAGTTCTTTTATGCTGCATTGCCATATGGCAATCTCCATAAAATTTCATGGGTCATTAAAATTATTACTGCAAATTTCTAATCAGTCCATGTATATTTATTTTATTTGCGAAGTGCCGTTGTATCATATAATTCAAGCTAAATACATCATTTTGTAAATAGCTTCGTTTTTTTTGCAGGTTTTGTTGTTTTCCCCGTTTACCTGTCGACTTCATACACATCTGGTCATGTCCAATGATTATTACAAGCTACTGTTACTGCTACTTTGTGCTCTCCTTTTTTCCTGGATTCATAGTAACTTTAAGGGTGTGTTAATTCTTTGAAATGGCTGCAAGCAGCAGATTTGATTTATCTTTGAATAGTCCTGATGGATCCACCTATTCCAATGGGCAACGGGGACCATATTTGGCTGCTTCACTAGAAAAGTTGGGAAGCTTTCGTGAAGTTTCAGATCGAATCCTGTCATCAACTCCTGGTACATCAAAGGCTAATGCTTCACCATCACGTGGAGATATTGCTTGCTTACTTCAGTCTCTTGCTTCAGATTTTAAGGTGATTGTTGCTGATCACCGCTTAAATCGGCCGGGAGAGATGAAAAGGACACTAAGTTCTATCTTTGGAACTCCTGCCAATGATGCAACATTGGTGACATTGGGAACAAAGCCATTACCTTCTTCGTGTTTGGAAGAGATTAAGCGCTTAAAGAATAACGTGCAAGACAATTTTACCAAAGCAAGGTACAGCTTGATTGAACTCATATTATGTAATTTAATTCTTTTATCATGTATATAAGTTTAAATATATAATTGACATTTAATTTTTCCTTTTTATTATTTTCAATTTTTTTTTTATGTTCTTTGAAATTGAGTGACCTGACAATTATGGTTACAAATGAACATGTCTCCATTTATGACTTAGGATGATGGTACGAGTTCTGAAATACAAGAAAAAAAATCAAGTTTTAATTTTGAACATCTAATAATCTTAGGGGCCGTTTGAGATCATTCTTTATTATTTATTTATTATTTATTTTGTTTTATTTATGTTTTGAGTGGAAATAAAACATGTTTGGTATGTTTATTAAGAAATGACTATTTTAGAAATCATTCAAAACACCCAAAAGTTATCTTGAGTGTCTTTAAAAATATGTTTATTTATTTTTAGTAAAAAAGAAAAATGTTAAAAACACATCAAACAAACATGTTTTTAATAATAAAAAAAAATCCAAAAACAAAGTCAAAAAACAAAATTGATCCCAAACAAGCCCTTAATTTTTCAATATGTGAGGCAAAGGTGCTCAACTATGTAATCAGTCCTTTCAAATGTTTTTTTTTGGTGGCAAAACTACTTAAATATTAGATTATATTGTATTTATCTATTTTCTTCTGTTGTTATTGTCTTGAACTTCCTTTTATGCTGCGGACATCTTTTGTTTTTTCTGAATATCATTTAAATCATTAGTTAGTGAGTATTGATGTCTTTTTACCACGTGCTTTTCCATTCAGTGAACATTTTTAGCCTTCACTGTATCTACAATTCTCATGTCTTCAATCTTTCGGGTTCTAAATAAAAATATTATTATTATTGTTAATCAATGTCACGCCTATTTATTATCTTTCAAGGATACTTTGTTTTAAATTGTAGAGACCAAACCAGATTCATTAAATCTTCTTCATCTCTGACCCTAGCCCGAAACTTTTTATTGTTAGTTAATTTTGGCTTAGTAGGCAAATGGTGAAGAACTATAATAATTGAGGATTTTTTATATCATTTTTATTGTCACGGATTCTTGCAGGAGCAGTGAACTACTGTATGAATCCAATTTGATAACTAATTTGGTTTTTATTTCACAAAAAAAAAAAAAAAAAAAAAAATCAATCATTCAATTTATTAAACGAAAATGCAACTTGATTGCTAAGGGGTTTCCCAAAGGCATGAATAGGACGTTTGCTACAAGATTTATGCAAAATAGGTTTAACATCTTGAGCAACACTGAATATGAAGGAATGTATAATGGTAATTCACCCGACCCCAAATATATAAGACAATGCTAATGATTATTTTTAACTATGAAGTTTGAAGCTTTTTAATGGTGACATGTTTTCGATTTTTAGAATTATTTTATTTTTTTTTTATGTTTTTTGCAGTGGATTGGAAAGGTATAGGGAAGATGAATGATTCTTTGAAATTTGGCACGCTTTGACTTTCTTTGACTTTTTGAGGTTGGTCATTTATTAAATATATGAATAATTATTTAAAGGTACATACATATAAGTTATCTTGTGCTTGAATTTTATAAGTACTGAGATTCAACCTTATCCCTATTTGTGAAAAGCAGTAATCATGATCCCTCTATTCGAATTTTAACTTGTTGCTTTGAAGTTTGGGCCATGTTAACGGCCATTAGTTGACTGTTTTCATGCTAATTGGTTATCAACAATTTGGAGTCCTACTTGCAGCTTCATCATTCATAGCGACACATTTTTTGTTTTTCTTTGGGGCATTTACATGCATACCACCAAATTCCTATGTATTTACATATTCACCTAAACTTTACGTTTTTATATTTATACTGCCCAAATCTTTCATATCACATAAAAAATACCATTATTTTAACTTTTAAAAAGTTAAATACACCTTTTCATGCAAAAATTTGAAGTTTAGGCATTAGATATGTAAATCCATAAAAATTGAGTGGAATGTATGCAAATCTTCTTTTTCTTTTTTATTCATTCAGATGATGTCTTAATAGTTTGGACGTCTTGTTCTATGCAGGGATAGAGTTAAAATTTTTGGTGAAGCTTCTTTAAAAATTGACAAATTCTGTCATAATATTTTAAGAAAGCGTCATCGAGCTGATTCCTCATCAGGTGAGCGATCTACTGGCTTAAATCAAGGAAGCATTTCCAAGATCGGGCCTCTGAGTTATCTATCTGGATCTTCCCTTGAGATTGGATCTCAAAGATTAGAAGACAAGGCCAAAATTAATGTACCAAACAGAAGGATTCGAACTTCCCTTGTTGAGGTATGGTTTTGCTTCTCGCTTGTCAGTTCTATTGTCATTTAATTTTACTAAACCAGTTAGTACTGCTACTTTATATTTAAATATTTTTTAGAGAATGTTTTGATGGTCTTACTGCCTGCGATCTTCTGCCATTTCTCAAGAATTTTAAGTATTAGCAATGCTCAAATTTGTTTTGTTTTTGAACTAAAGTTCAGTCTTTCTTGTCTGCATTTTGTACTCCGTGTTGGTATCATCAAGAATCACTTTTTACTAGGTTTAATACGTTACAATATACACTTCAATCATAAAAGCACGCTTAATTGCTTGGTTTTCATCTTTATTACAATATTTTTTACCTTTTTCAATATTTTTGGCTAGTGTTTCACAGAAAGCTTATCTCAACCTGTAACATTCCATTTTTATAACATTCATAACAACCACACTTGGTTGAAGAGGTGGAATGAGTATGAAACAATGGGCATCTTTATGGTTTTTTATCTTTTATTTTTTTTGGTTTCTTTATAAATAGTTGGTGGTGGGGAAATAATGAGCAAGAAAAGATAAAAAATAAAAAAAATATGTTATAAAAATGGTTTATAATTAAAAGTTTGGAGAATTTGAAGAAATATAAGTAGCCCGTAAGGAGTCTAAGAGAATAATTTTTTTATGTTAAGAATTCTGTTTTTAATAATCTTTGTAATATATTAGGATACTAAAGAGAGTGAAAAATATGTACAAAATCACTAAGCAAAGTGATACCGGAGTTTACCAACAATGATGGGGAAAAAATATTATTACTGAAATCAAATAGGAAATTGTAGCCATAACAAAGCGGAGATCGGAAATTGCAACGAAATACAACACACTCAAAGTAGTGTGGATCGTGGGTGGTGGTGGTGATTAATGAGGGTTTTTTTATGTTAAGAATTCTGTTTTTAATAATCTTTGTAATATATTAGAATACTAAAGAAAGTGAAAAATATGTACAAAATCACTAAGCAAAGTGATACCGGAGTTTACCAACAATGATGGGGAAAAAATATTATTACTGAAATCAAATAGGAAATTGTAGCCATAACAAAGTGGAGATCGGAAATTGCAACGAAATACAACACACTCAAAGTAGTGTGGATCGTGGGTGGTGGTGGTGATTAATGAGGGTTTTTTTATGTTAAGAATTCTGTTAGGGATCTTTTAAACTTAATATGTTTTGCTTAATAATATTATCCTTAAAATTTAACCCCCCCCCCCCCCCCAAAACACACACAACCCCAAGAGGTAGCAGAAGGGTGCTTAATGGGTAGGAAGATGTGGTGGCAACAAATGTGTGTTCGTAGCATCGAGGGGGAAGTGCGAAGCTGCAAGAAAAACAAGTGTGGTTGCTTTTCTGGGCGGTGGCAACAAGAAATATAGCTGGACAATGAGGAAAACAATAGATAATGACTGTTCTCGGCGGCGACAGTGAGGGGGAATGAGGTAGCTGCGACGGAGGATGCAGTGAATTATAGGACAACAAAAGGATGGATGTTAGGGGCTGCGGTGGCTAGAAGAGGTGGTTTAAAGGTGGGAAATTGCAGAAAAACAAGCAAGGGCTGCTGTTCGCGGTGCCTGCAGTAGGGGCGGGCGACCTGTAGCGATGTGGGAAGAATGAGGAAGAGTAGGGGTAAGGATAATCACCACATCGGGAGCAAGATGCAATTGTAACACTACTCAATCCTTGGATACAACCCTTGACGAGAAAATAGAGATACCTTCAATTGACTTGAACAAACACATGACAAAAACTAATCTAAAACACAACTAAAACAACATATATAGACCCAATATAACTTAGGATTGGGCCCCACTTTAGTTGGGCTGCAATCCTATGAACAAGGAGGGTCGGCTGACCCGTAGGGCTTCCAGGCTGAACTGGTTCACTCCACCAGACAATTTCTGCTTCGGAGGCATTGTCATTCAACTTTCTGAAGATCTTGAAATGTTCATCTGTTATGTGTTTGGGCTTCACAAAAGATCTCATTACAAAATATATGCTCATATCTAGCCATTATAACTCTGAATCACGCACGTCATTTCGAAACATATCCTCATCGAATAAGTAGGCATCTTTTTTTTGGCACAACTAGAACTAAAACTGCACACTGATGATTTATAACCTATTTCTCTCTCCTCATACTCAATTGAGTGCATCTGATAAATAATTTTGTCAAGAGTAATCAATTATACGGCAGGCTAGACAACCCTCAATTGCAACTACTCAGGAAAGACATCTTCTTCTCTGGAATGACTTGGATCCCACCATTAGATGTTCATTCCCACAAAACACTTAAGCTTTCAAAGCTGATGTTCATCATGCTCGTCTAGCCATCTAGTTATGGGGGTGTTGTTGAACTAAATTGAATTTTAATACCCCTATTACTCAATATAGACTTCCAGAAGTAGCCCAAAATCTTCCCATCTCTGACATATTGAATTTCTCTCATCAAAGTCTACTTAAGAGTAGTAGTAGCTCTAGTGACAAAAGTGTAACTTTAGGTGATCAAATTATTAAAAGATGTGAACGATTTAGATATCTCGGGTTTGTCGTTCAAAGCGATGGTGATATAGATGGGGATGTTAATAGTAGAATTCAAGTTGGTTGGTTGAAGTGAAGGAATGCTTCAGGCCTTTTGTGTGATAGAAAAGTACTGCTTAGACTGAAAGGAAAATTTTATAAGATGGTGTGTTGAGACCTGCAATGCTCTATGATGCTGAATGTTGGCCTTTAAAAGAGAAGCATAATACTAAGTTAAGTGTTGCCAAGATGAGAATGATTAGGTGGATGAGTGACTTTACACTTAGAGACAAAATGCACAATGAATATATTCGTGATAGGGTTGGTGTAGCTCCAGTGACAGACAAAATTAGAGAGGGTCGTCTTAGATGGTTTGGTTACATTAAACGTCGACCATCTGATGATCTGATTAGGAGAGTAGATGTTCTAGATTCGACTTCTGTTAAGAAAGGCAGGGTAGACCTAGGAAGACTTTGGACTTACTGTATAAAAAATGATCTTAATATATTAGAATTAAATGAAAATATGACACTAAATAGACGCAATGGAGAAAAGGGATTCATGTAGCCGACCTCATGTTGTGGAATTAAGGCTTTGTTGTTGTTGTTGTTGTAAAGGTTACTTAGGAGGTAATTGTATGTTTGAAAATTGTGAAATTCTCTTATCTAGAGTTGCCATGTGTTAGGTGTCAGCTACTTGAATTTATGAACCTCTCGGACAACCAGTTAGTTCTGCTGATGCTCCTCATTGCCTGTAAAAATATAGTTCGTGGCACCACAACCACAAATTCCGCATGGACACCCATTATTTTGAACTTACTATATTGTAGAATAACTAATGTTAATTTTGTAGTATTTCTCATGGGCCCAACCAGAGTCGCTTACCTCATCAGCTGAAAGTTGAGACTCTTCTCAGATGGCTTTATTTTTTCTCGTGTCACTTTCCATTTCCTCAATTTTTCTCTACTTAGTGAATGAGATCACTCTTCTATTTGGACAATCATATGCAAATGGCCAAAACGATGACACTTGAAGCATTGACTTGCGAGGATGAATTTGGAAGTACCGACTGTCTCCTCTTTTTCTCCATATTGTATAGGTTCTTGCTCTGGCTGAGTCGACATAGGTGTTCTACTGGTTGTATTCTTGTTGATTGATCTTAGGGTTGAACTCAACCTATAAGATATGGGGGTCACCGGGTAATGTTGTAACCGGTGTAGTCTTAAGAGCTTATCCCGCCTATAATGTGTTGGTAGGTACTTGCACCGCATCTCTCTTTTCATCTTGGGTCTGTATTGATTTTGCATTTTTTCTTATGCTGGCGTATATGCTTTAAATTTTCCCATCACAACAACACACTTTTCTTTAACTTGTTGACGATTAATTTTACCATTCTGTTTGGTGGAATTTCCTTGTAATAAAAAATCCCTTCCATTAACTAGAGCCACTCAATGAATTCTTCTGGATTCCTGCGACCGTCAAAATCTAGTAAATCCACCCTTACTTCCAGATCCCATATTCTCCTCTGATATTTCATGCTAAATTTGGTTCATCCTTTCGATCTGATGAATTACCATTGTGGTTGCGGGTGACCCTTTTTGATAATTTTCTATCAAAGACTAAAAACCTTTGTTACAGTTGGAAGATTTACCAATGTATATTTTTTATAAAAAGTTTTTAGACTTCTCTTTGGGGATTTCTCATATGCGACATTGTGTTCCTTCCTCCCGATCAGGTTTTTGACAATTGTCTCCTCGAGGCATGACTAGAGTTTAGGATTAGGAGGTGAACGAAGATGTACTGGGTTGATCTTAGGTGGGAAAATAAAATTTTGGGTTGATGATTTGAAAAATTAACAAGGGATGGATGTTTTGGTAACCCTAGAATAGGACTTAGGATAGACTCGCTCTGATACCAAAATAACATCGGAGTTAACCATCAATGATGGGAAAAAACAAATATTTTTGCTAAAATCAAAAAGGAAATTAAAACCCAACAAAACATAAATATGAAATTGCAACAAATAACAACACGAACTTAAACTAGAGTGGATCGTGGAGTGGTGGCGGTGATCAGTGAGGGTCAGTGAGGGTTTGAGGTAGCAAAAGAGCTGTTAATCAATTGGAAGGTGTGGCGGTAGCAAAAGGGTGTTGGTAGCAGTTAGAGGGAAGTGCGAAGCTATAGGTACAAATCCGGTTGACATCTTGGGTGGTGGCAGCACGAAAGATGGCCAAATAAAAGGAAAACGATAGATAACGGCTGTTCTAGTTGGCAACAACGGTGGAATGATGAAGGTAGCGACTGGGGATGCAGTGAACTACATGACAACAAAAGGATGGCTCTTTGGGACGGCGGTAGCAAGGATAGACAACTGGAAGGTGGGAAACTGCAGGAAACAACCAAGCACTGTTGTTCGGGGTGAATGCAATGAGTGCGGGAAACGGGAGTGATGTGGGAAGGATGGGGAAGGGTGGGTGAAAGATAATCACCACATCTGGAGCGAGATATATCTGGAGAACCACTCGACCCTTAGATACTACCCTAGACGTGAAGATAAAGATGTCGACGGCTGTCCCGAACAAACACACGACCAACACTGATCTAAAATACGTCAAAAGCACATAAACAAACCTAAGGTAACTTAAGATTGGGCCCAACTCCAGTTGGGCGGCAATCCCTCAGAAAAAAAAGGTTTGACCCTCAGTGCTTCCAGACTGAACCAATCTACGCCGTCTGACATTTCTTGCGTCCAGTCCATAAGAATGCGACTCCTGCATCACAAGGAGATAAGAAAAGTAAATATTTAGTTTAAGTAGAACAAATGTATTAAAGATGAAAATCAAAAAATATTTTTCTTAAAAGAAGATATTCAACATATGTGATTGAGATATTTTGATAAAATTTTCAATGAAGATTATGAAAATATGATCAATTTTAGTAATTATAATATCTTAAATAATAACAATTTATTTTTTTACTACCACAATAGTGAAACAAAAGTTAGGGAGTCTTTAAAGAAAATAAAGTGTGAAGAAGTAATAAGATCTGATAGTATTTCAATACAAGTGGAAATATTTAGGAGATTTCTTGGTTTACTTAACTTTTTAATATTATTTTAAAAACTAAAAAGATGGTTGTTGAGTGGAGGAGTCCATGGTTTCTTATTTTTAAAAATAAAGGAGATGCACAATAGTGTGTAATTTATACAGGAATTAAGTTAATGTGTTTTATATAAAAGTTATGGGAGAGAATAATTGAATATAGGTTATGATGTGATACAAAAATTTCTCAAAGTCAATTTGGATACTTGCCAAGGAAGTCTACTATAAAAGCTATACATTTATTGATAGGTTTGATGGAGAAGTGCAAAGACACTAATGAGGATCTATATATAATTTTTTTTTATTTAAAAAAAAAGCTTATGATAAGATTTCAAGAGAAGTACTTTGAAGAGTTCTAGAAAATTAATGTGTTGATATTGTTTATATTCAAGTCATTAAAGATTTGTATAATAGTGGTGTTATTTGCGTTTGAACACAAGTAGGATTGACTAAGTTTTTTCCTATTTCAGTTTGATTGCATTAGATATCGACTTTAAGCCCATATCATTATTGCTTTAGTTATGGAAATTCTTACTGAACATTTACAAGAGGATGTACCTTGGTGTATGCTTTTCGTTGATGATATTCCTCTTACGGATAAAACTAGGGAGAGAGAGTTCAGGAAGAGCTTGATTTATGGAATCCAAAGGCTTTCATTCGATTAGATCTAAAATTAAATACATGAAATGTAATTTTATTAGTAGTAAATCTAGTGGCGGTTGGTGATCAAGTCATTTAAAGGAGTGAACTTTTTAGATACCTTGGGTCAACTGTTCAAAGTGATGGTGATATAGATGTGGATTTTATTAGTAGAATTTATGTTGAAGAATGCATCGGGCCTATTGCGTGATAGAAAAGTATTGCATAGACTTAAAAAGATTTTATAAGATGGTGGTGAAACCTGCAATGTTTTATCGCGCAGAATGTTGGCTTGTGAAAGAGAAGCATAAATTTAAATGTTGTTGAGATGACAATGCTCAGGCTGATGAGTAGCTTTAAATTTAAAGATAAAATGAAAAATAAATTTAAAGATAAAATGAAAAATGAATATATCTGTGAAAGGGTTTGAGTACCTCAAGTGACAGAAAAGTTTATAGAGAGTCGCCATAAATGGTTTGGTCACATAAAACATCGACCATATGATGACTTTGTTAGGAGAGTAAATGTTTTAATTTTGACTTATGTTAAGAAAGATAGTGGCATACCTAAAATGACTTGGGCATCTTGTATAAAAAATGACATTAATTTATTAAAATTAAATGAAAATATGACACTCAATAGGACACAATGGAGAACAAGGATTCATGTAGTTGGCCCCACTTAATGGGACAAAGGCTGCTTCTTCTTGTTGTTGTTGCTTTTGTGGTTTCTTTGTAAGTGTAGATAGTGGGCTTTTCTGCTTATTTGATTTATTTTCATGGATTTACAGGCTAATGGAACTGCCAGAACCTCCGGGACTCTGGAGAGGGATAAAGATATTTTAAAGACAACAAATATCAGTGCAGCACAGGGGGATGAAAATGATCGAGTATTTTCAACAGTTGTTGATAGTTGGGAAAGGTCGAGGATGAAGAAGAAACGCTCGATAATTAAATCAGATGTTTCAGCATGTTCAGGTCTTGTTAAGTCTCAATGTGATCGGGATATGAAAAGAGGAATGCAGCAAAAGCTTGGTATTGATGCTCGACCAAAACTTAATTATTCACATAGCTTCAGGTACAATATTTTGATGGGGCATTTACATACATACCACCCAATTCTTATGCATGTACATATCTAACATCTAAACTTTATTTTTTACAGTTATACCACCACCCAAATCCTTAATATCATATAAAAAATATAACCTTTTTAACTTTTTAAAAAGTGAAATACATCTTTTCATGCATAGATAAGGTGTTATGCATGTAAAAGTTAAAGTTTAGATATCTAAACACGTAGGAAATTAGTGATATGTATGTAAATCTTCCTGATTGTTCTCCATTTATGCCCCTATACTTGTATTAATTTGGAAATTAAATGTCCTGTTAGTCATTTCTGTTTATTTGATCATTATGACTTGGTAGGATTGTTTATTAACTGCAGTTTTTCAGGTCAGGATCTAATAATAATACAACCCTTGCCGGAAAGATAGATTCATCTACTCAACAAAGTGCTCCCAACATGCGCTCAAGAAATGAACAAAATCATGTTTCAGTCCCTAATGACAGAAGAGATACTCGATTTTGTTCAGATACTGAAAATGCCTCTGTTAGAGTTATTACAAAGTAAGGCATTGCCTGGCTTACAGGTTTACCATGTCGTTGTTTGATGATGATCTCTATTAGATAGTAATTATGGATTATATATTCTTTTGTGTTATTTAATGACAACTAATCATTCCAAGGAGAATAATTTTTGGGCTACTTTCTTCAATTTTCAAATTATCAGTGTTTTTGCGGTGCCTAATTTTGAGAAATTGCTATTTATTTTTTATTAAGTGTTAAAGTAGTCTATTTGCAATTTACATGAGGTCATTTTAGTCCCAGAGTCTATAAACGTTTTAATTTGGTCGCAAACTCTTTTAATGGGGTCTAAAACAATCCAAAAGAAGGACCATTTCAGTCTATATTCAAGAGTCTAGGGACTAATTGGATATTTTTATCGACATTGGAATTAAAATGTACCTCTACTAAGAGCGAGGAAACCATTCAAACCATTCTGACATTTTTCTGATTTCTTATTTGTCCTGAAGTATGATTTTATATCACTTAACAGTTTTCATGATCTGCATTTAGTTTTTTCCCCTCTTCTTTCTCTGAAATCATTTTTAATTACCACATCCGATATTCAGGCCTAACAGCCGAGAGGATGCTCGTGCTGTAAGTCCTATATTACCAAAATTTGGATCTGCTCGAGGCCCACGTTCCAATTCAGTATCGCTGTCCAAGGCTTCTTCTAACATTCATCGAGGTTTGGGAAATCCCGAGGATATGGATCAGGCTCAAACTCTTGGTGCTATCAACAGGAAAAGATCAGCTTCTGCAAGGTCCTCATCGCCTCCTGTCGGCCAGTGGGCAGTACAAAGGCCCCAAAAAATTTCCCGTTCTTTAAGGAGATCAAGTTTGTCCCCACTTATTTCAAGCCAGGATGAGTTATCTGTATCAGAAACTGTAGAAGATGCATCAATCAATCATGATGATTTAGCAGGGACTAGGCGTGCCTCTTCGAATGCTTCCCATCATAATAAAATGAGAGGGGATAATTTTGCATCACCTTCATTATCAGAAAGCGAGGAATCTGGTGGGCAAGAAAACAAGCTTAGAGATAAGGCCAAGAAATGCACGGAGGTAGAAGATAAGCCTGCTCAAACTGTTCAGAAGTTTACAAATCTTATTATGCCATCAAGGAAGAACAGGATGGCTATTGAAGAAGATTGTGGAGATGCTGATCGCAGGCAAGGGAGGATACGTCGAGGATTTGGTCCTTCGAGGACTGGTATGTCAGCAAGCATTGAAAAACTTAGTGATGTTGTCACTACGAAACAACAGAGGAGTGCCAGACATGGATCTGAGAGGGTTGAAAGGTGATTACTTTCTCAATTACCAATTTAAAATATTTACAATATTAATTTCAACTTCAACTGAAGCATTTTGTAATAATGTTTTTTTGTGTTTATGTTACTCAGTAAACCTGGTCGTCCGCCCATTAAGAAGTTGTCTGAACGTAAAAGTTTTGCACGACCAAGACAATTAATAAACAGTTTAGCATTGGAGTCATCTGGTACTGTGTTGTATTATACGAGACGAACTAATCCAGTTTTTCAGCTGCTTCGTTGGAACATTTTCATCAAACTTTTGTGCTGAGTATTTTTTTTCCTTCTTTTTTTGTGTGTTTGTACTGCCTTCTCTCAGATGAAGTTGTTGATGATCATGATGAACTTGTGGCGGCTGTAACTGCTGCCCTTGATACTGGTATTATTGCCCCCTTCATATGACCATGTTTACCTTTATATTTTTGGGAAAAAAAATACTACCTATCAAACTAAGGGGCTGTATGTTGATTTAAGTAGGATTTAACTTAAATATTGCTAGTCAGAAAAAAAATGAAAATTTTAAATCCAAGATTTAGTAAATACAGTTTTTCTCAATTTATTCTCAGTTTTGCCTTAAATCCTGTTGTTGGCAGGATTTAATAAATTCGGATTTATTGGATTTATTAAAGCTGCTAAAGCTGTTATCATACAAACCCTAAAACTTGAGGGTTTGCTTGGCACAGTGATATTCAGATGTTTTGGTGATACTCATTTGATCAAAAAAAGATCTTCTTTGCCAAATTATTGCAAATGTGTACATGTCAGACCCTCCAAAACCCCACAATTTGTGTGGACCTTGTCGGATATTAGGGCCCATTTTTCTTTCATTTTTTTAACAAAAAACAAGTTTTTTAATTTTCTTATTTATTGATCAGGTAGAAATTGTTCTGGTTCATTTTGGAAGCAAGTAGAGCCTGTCTTTAGTTTTGTTTCCACTGAAGACACAGCTTTCTTGCGTGAACAGGTAATAATTTGATATGTTCTTGCAATCACATTATCTTACTTATCATTGTGCATTTAGAAGTTGGGGTTGGTTTTTGAGGGGAGAATTAAATATTCTTATTCACTAACGATTATAACTATTAATAGGCATACAAAATAAATACAATAGGAAGAAAAATATTGTAATTAAGAGAGAATCAACTCAAATCTTTCCGAATTATATAATCTACTATAATTTTAATGTGCCATCACTCAAGTTTGAGCATAGATATCTTTCAGCTTCAGCTACATAAGGGAGAGAATGAGAGAGAATACCTAGAGTTTTGGTTAAGATATTAACCATTTATTTGGAATTAAAAATGAGTAAATAATCTTAATGGAATTCACAATCCTGTATGAAGTGATAATCAAAATTGATGAGTTTGTCCCTTTCATGAAACACTGGATTGCTTATGGTTGCATGATTATCGTAATATAGAACAATAAGCTCAATTTTTAGAGAATTGAATTCCTTTAATAATGTCTTAACCCACATCATTTTAGATGTAGAACGAGCCATGTCTCTGTATTTTGCTTTGGCATTGGATCTAGCTACGCCAATTTGCTTTTACTTTTCTAGGAAAGCATATTACCTCCTGAAAAAATCTAGTAACTGCTAATTTATTGTAATCAACAAATCTATCTTGGTCGTCTTCACTGAATAGATCATTATATAGTATATCATCATATATAATTTAGTTATTCATGAGTGTGCTAGTTGGTTTGCTCAAGAAGGTTAAAGGCATTTTCTTTTAGATAGAGAAATCCTATTCTTGTTGTGGGCAAATTCAATCCCAAGTATGCATTCAGGCCAACTAAATCTTGCTTAAAAAAATAATTATGAAAGTAGTGCTTTACTTTCTTTATGCTTTTTTATCATTCTTAATGAGTAATATATCATTTACATAAATGGCTATTCATTCCCAATGAATAATGTATCATTTACATAAATGGCTCGTACAACTTAGCTTATTCTTGGATGTGTAACAAAGAATAATTAATGGTGCTAATTTTATTCACAAAACATTGAATCTAACAAAATAAAATCTGAAAAAATCTTCTTACAAGACATTAATTAGTTTTTAAATTTATAAATAGATTTATTTATTTATTTTAGTAATGTTTTTGACGATTATTGCATGACGGGATTGTTAAAATCAACTAAAAAAATGCAAACATACTCTTAGGAGAGATTACCATGCTGATGGAGGTCAGTTTATTCAGAATGGCAAGTTGGTAATCTAGACAAGCATAATTTATACTTGCTTGACTACTTAATGATCTTAATACAATGAAAAATATGCAAAAGTTTTTGCAACGGGTATAATATTAAATAATCATGGGTTCTCACGTATGAATGGATGTGGGCAAAAAAATTAGTCCACAAAAGTAATATTAGAATTTGAAATATAGGTACTCTCATAGGTAAATTAAAAGAATTAATAGATATTATTGTTCATAGGAAGATAAAAATCTTATGCATTGAAGAAATTGAATGGGTTGGAGAAAAAACTAAGATGGTAGATAGCTTAGATTTTAAACTTGGGTATTTAGGTAAGAGTTGTATAATAAATGATGTAGATTTAATTACTAATATGAGTTTAAAAGATCATGTTGTAAAAATTAATAGAATTGGAGATAAAATTATAGACCTACAGATTGTTATTGATATTAAGATTATTAATGTTATAAGTGCTTATGTTTCTCAAATATGTTTAGATATATATTCAAAATAAAAAAAAATTCAAATGTCCTAAAAGAATTAATCCGAAAGATGCCTCTTGAAAAAAAAAAATTATTGGAGGGGATTTAAATAGATATGTCGATAGAATGATAGAAGATTTTAGCAATATTTATAGCGACTATGATTTTGGAGCGACTAATGAAGAAGGTAAAGCCATAATGGTTTTTGCTTTAGCTTATAATTTTGTTATTGCTAATACTTTATTTAAAAAAAGAGTTTATTTAAAAAAAGAGATGAGCATATTATCACTTATAAGAATGAATCTAATAAAATGCAAATTGATTAATTTATTATGACAAAAAGAGAACGTTGAGATTGTAAAGATTGTAAGGACATTATAAGTAAAAATTTAAGTACTCAATATCAATTATTGGTTTTGGATTTTAAGATAAAGGGTTAGAGGATGAAAAATATAATGAAATATTGTCATAAAATTAGATGGAAAGACAAATAAAATTATTTTTATAAGTAAACTTCAATTTTTTAAGATTTGAGATGTTCATGAAGAAACTAATGATATGTGAAATAAAATACCACTATTAAGCAATTTGCAAAAAATGTATTTAGTGAATCAAAAGGTAAAGTTCTTATGAATAAAAATAGTTGGCAGTGGAATAATAATGTGCAAGAAAATATAAAATATAACAAATTTTGTCATAAAAATTAGTTTAAATGTAAAAGTCTAGAAAATTGAGAAAAATATAAGATGGTCCTTAGCGTGACTTAGAGGAAAATTTGTGATGCTAAGAATTATGCTTTTATAAATTTTATAATAGATTAGATGTTAAAGATGGTGAAAAATACATGTATAAATGAGACAAAAAAAAAGAAAAGTAAATATTTATTTGAAGTAAAGCTTATTAAGTATGAAAATAATAAAAAAAAAAACTTTCCTTTCTTCAATTAGGATATTTAACATGGGTGGGTGAACTATTTTGATAAAATTTTAAATTAAGATTTGAAATTACGATTTATTTTAGTGATCTTAATATCATTAATAATAATAAAACTTTTTATTTTTACCTTCACATTAGTAAAATAGAAGTTGAGAACGCTTTAAAGAAAATGAAGGGTGGAAAGTCAGCTAAACCTGATGGTATCTCAATATGAGTGTGACAATATTTAGGCAATTTGAGAAATGGCTTACTAAAAAAATTAATATTATTTTAAAATTTAAAAGTTGCCCAAGGAGTGGAGTAAGAGTATTTTGGTCTCTATTTTTAGGAATGAAGGGGATGCACGTGAGTGCAAATTATAGAAAAATTAAATTAATTTGCCATACATTAAAATTATAGGAGAGAGTAATTGTACATAGGTTAATGACTTGATAAAAAGATTCACAAAATCAGTTTGGATTTATGTCATGCAAGCCTACTATGGAAGTTATACATTTATTGAGGTTTGTTGGAGAAGTACAGAGAGAGTAAGGAGGATCTACTTCTGTTGATTTCGAAAAAGCTTATGATAAGGTTTTAAGATAAATTCTTTGGAGAGTTCTAGAAAAGAAAATTTTAACATGACTTATTTTCATTTCATTAAATATATGCATACTAGAGCTGTTACTTATGTTCGAACAGAAGGAGGATTGACCAAGTATGTTCTTATTTCAGTTGCATCAAATTAGGGATTTGCTTTATGCCCATATATTTTGGCTTTAGTTATTGATGTTCTTGCTGGACATTTATAAGAGGATGTACCTTGGTGTTTGCTTTTTGTTGATGATATTCTTCTTGTGGATAAAACTTGAGAAAGAGTCCAGAAAATACTTGAATTGTAGAGGTCAAATTTAGAGTTTAAAGGCTTTCGTTTGAGTAGATCTCAAACTGAATGTATGGAATGTAATTTTAGCAGTAGTATATCTAAGTGTGGGTTGTAACAATGGTGATCAAGTCATTAAAAGGAGTGACTATCCTAGATATCTCCGGTCTATTATTCAAAGTGATGGTGATATGGATGAGGATAATATTAGTAGAATTCATGTTGGATTGTTGAAGTGGAGGAATGCATTTGGCCTATTGTGTGATAGAAAAGTATTGAAGCATAAAATTAAGTTCTGTGTTCCTGAGATTAAAACGCTTGGGTGGATGAGTGGTTTTACAATTGGAGATAAAATGTGAAACGAATCGTGAAAGTATTGGTGTAACTCCAATGGTAGGCAAGCTTAGAGAGAGTCATCTTAGATTATTTGGTCACATTAATTGTCGACCGTCTGATGATTCGGTCAGGAGAGCAGATGCTTTATATTAGACTTATTTTAAGAATAGTAGAGGCAAACCTAAAAAGACTTGGGCATGTTGTATAAAAAAATCTTTTTAATTTATTAGAATTAAATCAAAAATGACACTCAATAGGACACAATGAAGAAACATAGTTCATGTAGCCGACCCCACTTAGTGGGATAAAAGCTTTTTATTGTTGTTGTTGTTCAAAAATCATAATATGATACACCGTTCTTTTTATAACATTTGTAAAATATAAGTATTTTTCACCATATGTTCAACGGATTGTCAATAATATATCTATCATGAATTTATTCAATATGATTACTTTTTGAAAATATTCTTTAAGTGATATGTGTGAGCTAATAGTGAGTACATAACAATTCTGAATTACATTAGAAAACAAAAAAAATAATTTGCATCCTAATTATCTTGAGTGAATATATATAAAATCATAGAATATTTACATTTCATTTAAGCGTGAGAAAGAAAAAAATGTAATTTAATATTCTTTCTGTATTAATAACACGGCCAAGAAAATGTATATATCATATCATATTTTAATTTATAATATAACTGTAATAGGTTCACCGTCTAATTGTACCATTCAAGCTACTTTAATATTAATGTAAATTTCCAAACTTAGCTCCCAATACCGAGATGAGTTAAATCATTTAAACCTCTATATGTAGGTATAAAACATCCTTGATGCCAGAAAGAGATGAACTATTTCAATGCACATATATTGGCATTCCTATATATATCATTTTATTTGTATTCTCTTTAGCATACAATGTCTATATTTTAGGAAACATTGTATACAATATCAACATGAGGCATAGAGTTCATTCATTTCAACATGAAGAAATATTTGTAGTGGCAAAACTATGCCATCATATATGAAATAACAAAAACGATTAAATGAAGATGTGTGTAAATAATATGTAATTTTTTTCATTTATATTAGAAGAAAGACGTCATTATTATACTATAGAATTTTGATCACCTGCCTTAATTTTGAGGAAAATACAACTCTTCAACTTCTATGTTTACTTATTCTTAATTAACTTCTAGTTAGTTTAATACCTATCCATTTTTTATATAATTAAATTTAAAACATTTATATTTTGCATACATTTATTTATTTTAATTAACTCTTATTATTCCTTTCAATTCTTCACTTAAAATTTCAATAACTTAAAATTATTTATGAACTTTTAGATATCCCTTGAAGTCCTAAAATAAAATAAATTTTAAATTTCTAATTTAATTACATATCTTAATCACTCTTCTCCATACTTCTTCTTTTGCAATAAAGAGTTCCATCTTCTCCACCTTGTTGCCATTCTCTTCCCACCAAAATTCCAACATGTTATGTTGAAAATTAAATACTGGAATCAGGGTTTTCAATTGAATTAAGAAAACTTGAAAATTTATCTAATTTGGGCTTAGGTCTTTTTTGCTTGGTAATAAAGAAGAAGAACTGGAGAATGAAGAAGAAATTGCCTCAATCTCATGCACGCTTGCTCTCTCTCTCTCTTAGCCCATCTCTCTTCACTTTTATTTAAAGCTGAACTGATGTCTAGTTGGTTCAATTGAACCAACACAACATTGATTTGTTTTCTTTTTTGGGCTTTAGAAGTACTGTTATTTCCCACTCCTAATATTCCTCTAAATTTATTTTTTATTAATACAATGCTGTATAATTATTTATCAAATTTAAAAGGACAATGTCTTACTAATAAAAAATCTTTTGGATAAGTAATATTTGAATTAAATTCCACCGGAAATATTTTTGATGAGTGATTTTCCTCCAGCCCATTTATCTAATGCTTGAGCTTTTCAAATCCATTAGTTTACACTAAAACTGCCATTCTTGTGGCTTGGATGTTTCCCATCAATTTGGAACTATTAAATCAGTTTTACATTATTTATCTCGAATAACTAGACTACCCTCATAACATAAGTTGAATGGAGAAGTTAACATGAGTGAAAGTTTTCATATTTTGCCAAACCTCTTTGGGCTATATAATATCTAGCTAATTTAGATGTGAGGTAAATGGTAATTAATTCTTACTTTTATTTAGCCGTTTGCTTACTTTTAGTTTTTTTGTTAGATTGATCAGGAACATGTTCTAATGTCGTCGGCAACAGTTGTTACCAGTAGGCACGAAAATAATGCCTTTCCTAGAGGAGTTGACTTTAACATATGTGAGAGAGAAACCACATTTGCTAAGCAGACTACGGAATCGGTCCCTCTTCTAGACCAATTTAGAATTTCAATTTGTCAAGCTCTTATTTCAGCTATCATTGATGAAGACGACATTGATAATCTTTACAACACCATTGATTATGGGGAAGCATATACATGTAATGATTCCTATGCTGCAGTTTTTGAGCTTGACAAAGACATGAAAACAAAAGATTTGAACTTGCACCTGCTCGAGAACTGCCAAACCACTAGAAGAAATTCAGATTATTATAAAGTTGATGTTAATCAGAGATTTTGTGATAAAAGTTCATGGGAGAGGTTGGGAACAAATGGAGCTTTGGAAACTGTTTATGGACCATTATCAAGTCCTCACCAAGTCTTAAATCAGCTGGCACCAAATCAGATAAAACCATTCAGAACAGATTGTACTCAATTTCTATACAACCAGATGAGCATCAATGACAGACTAATGGTTGAGCTGAGTGGAATTGGGCTTTACCCCGAAACTGTGGTAAGTTTGTTTTTACATTTCTATTAGAGCACAACTGTATCTCTGTGGATTATTTTTATTTCATGCTATTTATTGAACTTTCTTAATGCATTTGCCACAGGTTTCCTTCTGTTAGAACTGTCAATGTTTTTAACAAATAGACTGAATGTCTTTTTCCTTTGCTTTCATTCCAATAAATAATATTCTGTACAAACTCTTTTAGGTAACCTAATAAATATTCCTAATATAAATAAATAGAGAATGTGTACAATTAAATGAAATAAATCAGAAGAGAGATTTAAAAATAATTTAAATAAGGAAGCTCATAATTATAGGAAACTCCTAATTCAGCTACCTGATTTATGTGATTCTTGATTGATATCCCCCTTCAAATTGATGCCAACTGATCAAGAAGCATCAATTTGCCAACAAAAAATCGATGACGTTCTTCAAGTATTCCAACATTTCTTTAGCCGTCTCAAAGGATCATAATTGTTCACCATATGAGCCTCAATAGGTCTTGAAATCCAAGAAACAATCTGAGCATCACTTGTCTCCTATTGACCAAGATCTTTTGACTTTGTAGGTACTGGAGAAGACCCATCAATATGCCCACAAAGCTCATTCTCTTTCAAAACATCTTGAACTGAAATTCTCATACTGCATAATTCTTTCATGTAAATCTGATAGCTAAGATTTCAAAAGAAATTCTAAATAGAATTGTCGCTCACAAGTTGATCACCAAGAAAGTCGTTGACTGAAATCAACCTAAAGCCAAAGAAAGCCAAGAGATCCAAAAAAATCTAAAGAAACCCAAAGAAAACCAAAGAGAACAAAAAATTAGTGCACTGCCTTGAGTTTGATCCGAGACCGAAGGAAAGGAATCCGAAGCTTAAGCCTACGATCCTTGAGTGCGATGAAGAAGCTGAAGTCGAAGCCGACGATCCTTGAGTGGAAGTAGTCGAAGACTCGCAAGAAGTAGTTAGAGGAAGACTCGTTGGAAGCAGTCGAAGGCGGAATAAACAATCTAAGATGCCGCAGAACACAGTCGACGAAGTGGGTGATGAAGCAGTAAAGAAGTAGTCGAAAATGCCGTAGAAGTAGCGAAGGCTAGCAAAGATAACGATGGCGTTTGGATGAAACCAAAGTGGTCGAAGCGGACTAAGCAAACGAAGCCAAAGCGGAAGAAGCAGTTGAAGATGCCGCAGAAGCAGCGAAGGCTAGGGAAGACGACGATGGCGTTTGGATGAAGTCAGAGTGGATGAAGCGGACGAAGCCGAAGCGGACAAAATTCTCGGCGATTTCTAGTCGAAGACGTAGGAAGCGGTTGGCGAAGATGGAATGAGCTCGAAGATGAAGATGAACGATTTTCAAAGGCTCGGGAAAACGACGAAAGATTCAGACCAGAATTCGATGTGGCTCTGATACCATGTCAATGTTTTGAGCAAATAGGCTGAATTCTTTTTTCCTTTGCTTTCATGCCAATAAATAATAGTTTGTATAAACTCTTTTAGTTAACCTAATAAATATTCCTAATATAAATAAGGAGAGAATTTGTACAATTAAAAGAAATGAATCAGAAGAGAGAATTTAGAAATAACTTAAATAAGGAAGCTCATAATTATATAGAAAACTCCTAACATTTTTCTTTTTATCGTTCATCTTTTAATCACTTAATTAAACATGAAATATTAATTTAAAATAATAGTAAGCTTAAGCAAAGCTAGTGGCTACTCATACTTCTAAGGTGCATTAGTACAAAAGAAGAAAATAATGTGCATGCTAGTTAATTTTTAAATAAATTAATAAAAAATATTTAATGATATTCAATGAATTTTACTATAATAATGACATATCAATATTATTCTATATATGTACAACCGCCACAGTAGTATCGTCTAAAAATTATGTCAATTAAGACACATTAATATTAATATCATTTTCTATATCTCAGTGTTCCCCACTAGTACTATCAAGGGGTGACGACATCGTAGTCAGTTATGCACATACAATCAATTTATGTAAATCATGTCATTCATAATTTCATATCAATCAACATGTAATCTATTAAATATTTCATAATATGAAATTATAAGTATTCGCATCGCACTGATCGATAAAATTTAATAATGGAAAAATCATTTGCATTAATAAAGCATAAAGAACAAACCCATAAAATTGATTTAAAAGATATACCAAAATGATACTATAATTTAAGAATAGGTGATGGTGGTGGGTTGCCTTTTGAAGAGAGAAAATACTAAGATTTACTGTTGATGTTTTGTTTTAGGTCTAATATATGATGTGGAGGTTTGGTGAAATGTTAAAAGATTGAGGAGAAAATGATGCCTAAAATACTAACACTAGTCTGGATTAGGCTAGTTTGGGCTGAGTTGAAATATCTCTTTGGGAAAAGTGGCTTAATAATGGGTAAATGACTATAAATGATTTTTAGTGGTTAGCTTAGGATGTGTACTTATGAACTGGAGTAGATGGGCAGGTTTGGACGGCTTTACACTTGTGTTTAGGGTTAGGGAACAATTCTCACTGTTCTCACAAGCCAAATTCTCATGAGCAGGTAAATCTATAATTTGTTTTTCCCACTCGTACTTGGATGGATGTGTCTGATAAACAAGTCTATAAGGAGGATTCAATTCTAGGACGAAATTTATAGCAAACAAGATCATACTGAAGGGTAACCACTAAGGAGAGGCCTCTACTTCTTTTTTGAAAGGACCTAAATCTTATTGTCGGATGTTCCTTCTTTCGAAGCTCGTAAGGTGATTTCGAATACTACGTTTCATTCATCTTGCTTTATCACATGTCAATGGGTATTGATTGAATTTAATATTTCAATGATTGATTGAATTTAATATTTCAATGACTCCTTATGGACTTCCTTGAAATTGGTTGTATTTTGCATTAATAAAAATAAACATTACAAAATGTATGCATGCATGCGTCTGTTGTGTATAAAAATGTAATCTACATCTATAAGTATGCAAGAAAAAGCATTATGATTAACTACATGCGTCAAAAAAAAAAAGAATCATGCAGAGCTAAATAGTCATTAGCATGTGCCACTCTATTGCATTCTTTAGGCATGTATAATAACATTTGTTTGAACTTCGAGAGAAATGCAAAATCAGGAGCAAGTTGTGGTTGGAGTTGCCAAACATCTCTCTTCATGGAAGAACTCAAAACTTGCATAATGTTGGTATTATATCTCTCCACAAGAAAGCCTTTAAGCTTGAACATCCATGGTTCACAAATGTGTTTAAGCGAATGGATCACCGTGAGCTCAACTTGTGTGCTATCCAAATGTTGACAGTGTTGTCTGGTAGCGATGATACCGATTTCGCGCTCGTCGCAATTGATGACGCCTATGCCCACTATCCCAGAGGGTAAGAGAGCACCATCAATGTTCTTTTTTAGTAATTCAGGAGGGAGGAGAGGCCAAAAGGAAGAAATGACCGACCCTACAAGTTGGCTAGAATTTCATTGCCCCCAAAATGGATAAAAAATGCTTCTTTGTGAGAGCCTCAAGAATTCTCACAATGATGATGGTTGGTGTACACCATGTGTTCGATTATGTATCTGGCTTTACAGGCAAGCCAATTGTTACGAATCACGTAGTAGAAGCAGCGAATTTGCACAATTTGGCTTTTTCGGTTTGTGCGGAGATCTTTGGTCACTTGATCGAAGTTGTTAAACTTTGGTCAAGAGATCCCCTATGACATCAGGACATCCTTGACTCCATATGGACTTTCAGAAGTGGAACGGGAGAGACCTACACGAGTAACTAGAAAGTAGCCTATATATTTGAAACTTTTGAATCTCTCTTATATAGTGTTGATTTGTGTCTGATATCAACTACTCAAACTCATGGCTATTTGGACATCCAATGTCAGTCCTGTTGATGCTTCTCTTAATGCCTGCACAACAAAAGCTTGCGGCACCACAATCTCATACTCAGCATGAAAGCTCATTACCTCGAACTCACTACCTTCTAAAGCATCTATTATCAATCAAGTTGGAGTCTCTCTCTTAGGTTTAATTGGAAAATCTGGCGTCTCTTCCTTGTCCACTAGAAGTCGAGAATACTCTGAAATATTCATATTCTCCTGAACCACTGTTTATTTCAACTGCTCCCTGATCCGTGAAATAGATCATTCTTTTGTTTGTGTAATTTGATTTGGCATGTCCAAAATCATGACACTTGAAACACTTCCCAGCTAGGATGAATTTGGGAATGCAAATTAATTCCCTCTATTCTCCAATTGGACCTAGGGCCTCTCAGACGCGGTCAGTTTGGATGTTTCTTTGACTGTAATCTTGTTGCAAGATCCTGAGATTGAACTTTGCTGTAAGATGTTGTGGTCATCCTGTAATGTTCTCTCCACTTTCGAAACTAGGGTTTGCACATTCTGTCTGTAATGAATTGATATGTATTGGCATTGTATCTACTGTTTTGTTTGAGACTAAGTAATGATCTTATATTTTTTCTCACGTTGGCGTAGGTGTTTTAAATTTTACCATCAAAATAATGTTCTCTTCTTTAAATTGCTAGAGGCTAGTTTCACCATTCCGTCCAATGGGACATTCTAGCACTCAAAGAAAAGTTCTACCATCTGAAGCCACTCGTGAACTCTTCCGAATCCAAGTGACCGTCAAAATATGACAAATCCACATTACCTCAAAACTCCAGTTTCTTAGATATTTCAAACCAATTCTTCAGGGTGGAGGCTTTTCATTTCTGAAACCTTTAATATGCACTTTACTTGTATCCTCTAACATCTTTATATCCTCGAATAGGCACTTCATCTGTGTAATTGAATGGAGTTCGGGTGACCCCTTTGAATGCTATCCTTTCCTCAAATTTGTTTAGTAGTTGTAGCATTTGACGAATTTACGTTGTATCTCTTCCATGTTAAACTCTTGATCGGCGTCTGACTCTTGGCTTGGCGATGGAGTGGTTAGGGTTTGGGGTGTAGGTAGGGGTGATGTAGGGTGGTAAGGATGATTTGAGTGGAAAAGGAGGGGAAAAGTTTTCTTTAGGGGAAAAATTTTTTGGGGGGGGGGGGGGGGTGGAGATAAATTTGTATGAATACTAGAAACCCTAAGATAAAACTAGAGTTAGACTAGCTCTGTTACCAAATGATACCGAAGTTAACCCAAAGCAGAATAGAAAAAACAAATATTATTGCTGAAACTCAACTGGGGACTTACAAACAACCAACTGAAATAATAAATAACAACACAATACCATAAATGGAAATTAGCAAATTACACGACACAAACACTCAATGAGGGTGGATCTTGGGTGGTGATGGTGTTCAGTGAGGCTTTTAAAGGTGGTGTGGAGGTGGAAAAGACGGTTAGCAAGCAGAAAATAGCATGACAGCGGTTTCCTCAAGGCCGAATAACAAGTAGACACCCGAGGGACGATGTTTGAGCGTTGGCAGGCCGAGGGCAGCAAGGGGGAAGGGTGGAAACGGCGGTGGTTGCAATAGGGAAGGGTGGAAACGACGGCGGTTGCAACAAGGATGCGGTCGGAAGCTCGTTGGCGGCTGAGCAGTTAGTGGGGAGCCTACGAGGAAGGTTTGGAAGGGGCGGTAGTCAATTGGTAGGGTTGTGTGGCTGCTAGGGAGGATGACAACAAGGTTGGTGGCTGGTTGGAGGTGATAGCAACCGGCTGGCGTCTAGAGGGAGGAACCATGGGGCAGTTTGGGGACGGATAGACACCAATTCAGGATGAGTTATAGTCGGAGCACCTTCTTGCCTTCGAATACAACCCTTAGAGGGGAAAAGCAGACCGGCTGTTGTCATGACAGAAATCTGAGCAAAGAATTGCCCAAACACAACAAACAACACCAATATAAACCTAGGGTAAAGAGTAGTGGGCCTCGCTCCCAATAGGATGGAACACCATACTTGCTAGGACCGGTTGGTTCCTCCTTTACCTGGATCAAATCGGACAAGTGTCGCTTACGATGTTCGTCACGACTGGGGCGTGAATGACACCCCACATCACATCCATAAGCTAATCAAATAAATGAAAATTTAAAAATTTGACAATTTTTGTGTGAAAATATAGGCATAATCGCTGACCACCTTTTTTAAGACACTTCCTATTTATGTGAGACTTTGTTTTTGTGGTCTTGATAGCTAACTTTTCTTAATTGTTAATACCGCACTCGATTTTTTTTTCATTTTAGCCTGACGGGACATATGGTGAGGATGAAGACATCACTAAAGGCATCCACACACTAGAGGAGAAGCTCCGTGAACAGGTATTCATTTGAGTCTGCAATTGTTTTTTTTTTTTAATGTTAGGGTAATTTACATACATTCATGTAGCCAGCCCCATTTAAGGGGTAAAGAATTGTTGTTGTTGTTGTTGTAGGGTAATTTACATAAATACCAGACAATTCTTATGTATTCCATATATAACACCCAAAGTTTGATATTTATGCTTGTAACACCTTGGTATCATGAACCCATGCTTGAAAAGGTGTATTTCACTTTTGAAAAGGTAGTGACAGTGGTATTTTTGTTTGATGTTAAAGATTCGAGTGGTATGCATGTAAATATGAATATTTAGGTGCTAGATATGTAAATACTTAACAATTGTGTAGCATATAAGTAAATGCCTCTAAATATTCAAATTTCTTCTTCCACCATCTTCTTCATTTTTAATCTAGTTGATTTTATCATGCATCGTGTTTATGTGTGGCGTACACTTGTCCTAATTTTAGTTGGAAAAAACAATTTGCGTGCTGCAATACCATATACATCTGCTTCTACCCGTTTAGAATATGAATTCAGTAATTCACAGAGTCTATTATAGTCGGCCTAGTAAAAAAACTAAGGAAACGAAGTAACAGAAAAAAAAGGGAGAAAAACAGATTAAAATATCCTCTGATATATAATTCTCTAGTAAAGTGTCAAAATAGCCCCGTAACTATTTACATAAGGTGATTTTGTCCCAAAGAATATAAAAAGTATCAAATTAGTCCCCATACTCGTTTAATATGGGTTGAAATAGTTCACATTGAGAATTATTTTAGCTCCCTTTAAAAATTTTTGGGGATTAAATTGGCACTTTTATGAAATCAGGGACTAACAGGGGACCATTTTTACACTTCTCTCTATAATTCTCGCTATACCTTGTATCCTCATAACGTTTTGTTGATTTAACAGGCTTCTAATCGGAGAAACCTGCTCCTTAAGTTAGAGAAGGCTGTTATGGATGCCACTGAACTTCAACAGAGGTAGGCTTTCCTATATGCTGATAATTGTCTTCATTCCTTCTTTGAGATGCAAATATTTGATTCAACTTAGATTTTTTTAATTTTTCATCTTCTTATCAGTTGTACTGAGTGCGCATTATTTTTTTTCGCATTTTATTACACATCTCCAAGTATTGGAACTCATTGTTTGTTCTTTTTCTGACTCTAGGAAACTAGAGAGTCTGGCAATGGATCGTCTTGTACAGATTGCATACAACAGATATATGGTAATTTTTTTTGGAGGATATACACACATAGTATGCAATTCCTGTGTATTTTCATTTCTAACACCTAAACTTCAATTTTTACATACATACCACCTGAACTATGCATAAAAAGGTGCATTTCACTTTTTAAAAGTTAAATGGTGGTATTTTTAATGTGATATGAAAGATTTGTGTGGTATAAATGTAGAAAGTAAAGTTTAGGTGTTAGATATGTAAATGCATAGGAATTGGGTGATATGTATGTAAATGCCCCCCTTTGTTTGGTTACCATCTAGCCATTTCACTAGTTGTCTAACTTGATTTATATTCAACTCATTGTGAAAATTGCTTGATATTTTCATTGGTACCTTTACTTTCATTAATTTATCTTTCCAAATCATTGACGGTTCTACACGGTTAAGTATGTTTTCAAAACTTTTTTAGATTTTATCTATCTCAAGATTTCTTCATCAAGCCCTCGTTGTTTCACTATAGAGTTTCTTTCTCTGCCTCCATTCATCATAGGGTAACTATTTGCTGATCACTGTGACACAGTTCATTTCCAGAGGTCTTTTGTGCCAAAACATATGTGATCTACCAGTTCTTTAATACAAATTTCTTGGAGATTGAACAAGGGGCATCTAACGTTTTGAAGTATTATATAAAATACCCTTAATGGTAGTCATTTTTACTGTGTGGCTCTGGACTTGAAAATGCTTCTGCAGAACTAGAACTATCGGAATTGCTCTTTCTTAGTTGTTCTATGGCCTAGAGGTAGCTTAATTTCCATCCCTATCCTTTGTTCTCTTTGAACTATGTTGTCAACTTTGCCGCTGGAATGTATGCTGATTTTTTCAAATTTTATCAGGGCATAGGAAGTTGCAAACACAAGGTCTCTATAGAAAATAAAAGCAATAAACTACTTGTAATGGTGTCAAGGACTGTGTGATTCACACGATTTTCAAGGAATAATTTGAGGTTCAATGGTTTAAGAGTGGGTCTGTTAGATGTTTTGCTATATAAGATATCAGGAGAAACTTACCCATCAGATCGTAGTGCTAACTGGACCACCAAAGGCATTAGGTGAGGTGAATCCCTATGAATGAAAATTTAGTTATTACTTCTAAGTGGAACATTTAGGATGTTTCCTCTTGTATGATCCTATACCTCAATAAGTAGTTAGGACAAAGCTTTGGAGAGAGGCAACCGTATTTTTTCTATTTAGTTAGATCTGAATTAGTCCAGAAGTCTATATGTGAAGTATTTAGGGACTAATTTCTCTGTTTGCTTTCGTAAGAAGAGGTGTAGATTGTGCTGTATGTCATCAGATGATATAGAGATTGTCATTTCTTACCCAAGAGCTTGGAATTCCATGATGGTAACGTCTGGGTAGAATTTTTAAATAAATGTAAACAATTTTTCACACATAATGCTCAGTGTGTATATCATAGTTTTATATCACTGTAACTCAAATGAAAAAAAAACATGTATACTAATAATATCTGAAATTTAATGAAATCATGAAATGTATCGTTTTGAATATGAACATAAATATTTCTTAAGAATTAGAAGTGATGTACATTTATTAAATCATAATATTCATCTAATCTTTAAGAGTATAACCATATATCTTTTATAATATTTAATCTTAATTATATGAGTGTCAATTTGGGTCAGCGGATTAGGTTCCCGAAATTGACCCGACCTAAATATTATACAAGTTGAAATTGTCAACCATAACCCGAACCCGAACCCGACCCGCCTTCAACCCACCAACCCGTATAACCCATTTAACATAAAGAATAACCATTATTTAGGTTAAAATTAGATCAATTTCGGGTTGGTTGGTTGGTTTCAAGTTAATTCAGTGTTGGCGGGTCTACCTGCCTTAAACGAGCATGATCTTTAATTCGAACCAGACTCGAAAATTATTTGGGTTCATTATTTACAAATAGGGTACATATATATAGGGAAATCAATCCCTCCTTATTTACAAACTTACCAAATATATCTAATCTAAATCAGGAAAGGAAATAATTCTAAATAAAAAATAGAAAGAAAATAAAATAGGAAAGGAAATATATCTGTCAAAGATTTTCTAAGATACCCCAAACAAATCCTCCTAGATTTGGAGGTGGTAACCGACCCACATGAGAGCTAAATATGGAAACAATCAAAACCTCTCATATTTCCACATATACTTAAGACATCAATTTCAGGAGCATATTGCATTGCCTATACATAAATATTATTCATCTTTGGCTGATACAATAACGACCCAGCCCGAGTGTTTAAAATTATCAAAGTTTGATCAAACGGTCAGACAATGAATTAAATTCCTATAACTAATTAATAAAAATAATCTACATAAATCGAAAGCACCACTAATGATTAAAATTTAAATTAACTTAAACAATTATAAATGAATTGATTTTTTCTATATTGGTCATGCCTTCAGTGTACATTGTCATTCTTTTACTCTTTTTTTAGCTAGAGATTTCAACTTGGAAAATGGTAATTTAACGAGCTATTAACAGGTCAGTGAATACATGTACTTTTAAATTACAATAATGCAGTGAAAAAAAAATGTGTTATTCAAACATAAAGAATTAGTAAAAATAAATGCAATTTATTATTCAATTATAACCATTTAGGATGGTTCAAATTAATTTTGTCGTAGAGTAGAATAATTTATCTTATTTATATCATTTACATCCGTCACATGAGCATTGTCTAAACATAATCTAAATCACTCTTGACAGATACATATCCCGTTAGCACAATGAGAAGTTGAACATGTCTACTATTGCTTGAAGTGGAAAACCACCTATTCACCCTAATTGATATATCATCCTTCGATACAGCGGATCATGATCTTATTTTACTATTATATGAGATGGCAGAAAAACATCAAATTACACAGATACCTTAGGCGTCTCCAGTTAGTATTATAAGTGATAAACTCTATTAGTATAGCATGCACATGCAAATAATCTATATACTCTTATCTCATTTTTAATTTTTATTTTCATATCATTTAACATTTATTTATAATATTTAATGCATGAAATAATCACATTCGTTACATTGAGAAATCTATTTACATTCTTTTTAATATGGTCAATAAGTCTTATAGAATTGATAAATTATAGAAAATTTACTATAAAGACTAATTCAAATGATAATATTGAATTATGCATTTGATTTAAAGGAAGCAACACTATTACTGGAAATTAAAAATATAAGCTGACCTCAAAATTTGATGATATGAACTTTCGCCATTTACTTCGTAGTATACGCCTCTTTACAGGCCCTCATTATAATCCTCAACATAATTGTTTATTTTATTCCTCACTTCATACTCAATTGTATCCATGTTCTCTCATTTTAAATCTCAATTAACTTCTTTTTATTTAATTAATTTTTATCAATAAAATATTTATGAGATTTTAAAATAATAGCTATGTTGATAGTTATTTTATTTATGTTTATTTTAAAGAACAACCTAGATCTAATTACATTCTCTTCAGTAGAACTATGGTGAGATGCCCCTTAAAGCGGGCCTCACATTATGTGAGGTGTAAGTTTCTTTTAGTGCCCAATAAGATGTCCGGCCATTGATTGAAACTTAAGAAAAAAAAGTTGTGGGGCCTCAGTTTGCAATTTTGCCATAGATTGAAATTATCTGACATTTTTTTATTTTATACAACCTATACTCATCATTCACAACATTCCCATGCTTACCTGCTCTCTTCCTCCATCATGATTATAAGCTTAATATTATTGATGGCGTCTCATTAATTGTATCTTGAATTTCTTAAGACTCGAAGAACTAATAATGAATCATTCAATAAGGTAATATATGACTCGAGCAATTATCAACAACAACCCTCTTTTATAAAGTTTTTTACAAAATTTAAAATTCTAACTCAATTCTATATTATCATTCTATCAAGGATTACCATTTTAAAATTTCTATAAGTATGTGGTAATTCAAACCTCACAAAATGGACTTCCTAATAGATCCTCGAGAGTTACATACATCAATCCAAGTGAATACATTCATCCAAGTGAAAGAAAATTTAGAGGTGAATGTCAGTTCTAGCTATTTCCTATCAATCATAACTAAGGGAAACTTATGTTTAGGGTTTACCTCATCAAGTGTGAAGAATAAATTTCACTTTCCATTCCAAGCCCTGTTCGGAAGGACTAAATTTTCTGCCGTGGTTCATGCTAAACATCTTTACAAATGCAAGTTGTCCATCATCTTGCCATAACACAATCAATTGCACTTTACCCCTTTGCTTACCTGCTCTATCCCTTGCTCAATCAATGGCTGATTCTTCGCCAAGTCTCTCTCTCTCTCATTTTATCTCTCTCTCGGTGTTCCTTTTGATATCTTGCTCTTTTTCTTTTTCTCTCCCCCGCTCCTTTACAATGTTGCTCAATTGAACTCACATTATTGGGCATACTTCTTTTTTCTTTTTAATTCTTAATGGATCTTCAAAGAGATAAATATTCATATTATTATATCTCATAAGGTAAAAGTAAAATATGATAGCATGATTTATATGCCCTTTTTTTTTTTTCAGAAAACTTTGTTCGTCTATCTTATGTTTCCCTACCTATTCTAAGATATGTATTTTTTTCGGGCAAGGTGAGTGCTCGAAATGTCTTGTGATTCTTCATTTGATTTCCAACTGATGTAGTATGGATTTGAGCACGACTGAGATTTATGCTTTGGATGCCTTTTTAATTCAGAAAAAAGGACGCCGTTTACCATAGTTGCTACATGGATTCAAGGGAACTCTTTTTCTGAACTTAGCAAAATTTTCTTTGATTTACTAAACAAGGAAGCTTAATTATTAAGTTGATTCTATATTGGGCTAAGGAATATGCCACCCTTAATTTACTAATTTTAGATTGATGTGTTGCTTTGCTAAGCAGTCTTGCTGGGGTCCTACTACTTCTGTAAGCAAGAATGTGAACAAATATGCTAAACACGCTGTCCAGAAATTCATCAAACAAACATTGGAAAGATGTAAGAAATTTGAACAGACAGATATCAGTTGCTTTCAAGAGCCTGTTTTCAAGGACATGTTCCTTGCTGCATCATCTCACAGCCACCATTCACAAGTTGCCAATTTTCTTCCAGCTGATGGTGAGCCTCACTTCTTTTTTTCACTCATAATTTCATTGTTCTGCAACCATTTTCTCTTTTCCTTTTTGTCTCATTGTGCAATTACAACCCATTTACAGCCAAACCTTCCAACAAAATTCGATCAATAAATCCTTCTCTAGAACATCAATTCATCAAAGAAGAAATCTGTTCAAATCGAATAAAAAAAAAGGAAGTTTTGCTTGGCAGCACATCCACTCCATCTCAAGCCCCTACAGGTCTTGGAACTTCATTAGCCGGCGGTGCAAAGGGGAAGCGAAGTGAGAGGGATCGAGACATTAAGAATACCACTGGGAAGCTCGGCCGCCCTTCCGCATCCAGCTGCAAGGAGGAAAGGAAGAACAGGGCAAAGCCGAAGGTCAAGACAACACAACAATTATCTGCTTCTGTCAATGTTCTTCATAATATGTCAGGATCTGCTGTTAGAAATGTCAAGGAGAAAGAGAATCCAAACTTACTTCCAGTTGTTGAAAATGATCATATTGACTTGAGCAACCTTCAACTTCCCGATATGGATGCCGTTGACTTTGGCGGTCAAGGTCAAGATATTGCCTCATGGCTGAATTTTGAGGAAGAAGGAATGCAGGATCAGGATTTCATGGGGCTTCAGATTCCTATGGATGACCTTTCCGATGTTCACATGATGATATGAGATTTAGAGAAGCTTGTACAGTTTCTGATCAACAGGCAATTCTATAACCATACAGGTACTGGCAGCAGCTGAAAGCTTGTCTGTATAGATTCTTTTAGGGTCCCTTAGGGTTATTAGGGTAAACCCTAAAACCCTAAAAAAGGGTCCCTTAGATGGACTAGTTAACAGTAACATGTACTTTTTTTGAATGAGCTTAGAGTTTACTCTCATCTATACCATAGAGGGATCTTGATTGTAAATATCTTTTGTTCTGTATAAAGGCAGGCTGCCAAGTTTAGTGTATTCTGGTTTTGACATCTGCATGGTAGGCCGTTGTGCCTATTGTATATACATTTATATCTTAATAAAAGTGCCATTTTATTCTCAACAGCTTGTATTTGCCAAGTGGATCATGATGTTTTTTTGGATTTTTCTTTACTTGTGTTAACACATTTTAAATGATTGAAGTTAAATATTTCATAATATGAATAGTTTGAAGAAGGCTGGGTGGTGCTGATCTTAGTGATATAAAATGAATTGAATGATAATGATAACTTGGCTTTGTTTGAAGGAGTTTTCTCGTTCGGCCAAGCAGACCGATTGTTGCAGACCGTTCTGAAATGACAAAAATTCATGGTTCTTGCAATACAATGTCCGAAGATGTTCCGGAAATGCTTCGTAGCCAAACATATATTTTTTCAGATGGTAGTGTTTAGTGCTACCGAACGGAAATAGTTAAATGAAATCAATATAGAAATATATGTTTTCAATGATAATAATTGATGAAATATGATTAGAATTGAAAACTTTATTTTCATTTTAACTATTTATAACAACAAAAACAACGACAACGAGAAAGTCTTAATCCCACTACGTGGGGTCGGCTATATGAATCCTTTTTCTCCATTGCGTCCTATTTAGTATCATATTTTCATTTAGTTCTAGCAAATTAAGATCATTTTTTTATACAATAAGCTCAAGTCTTCCTAGATCTACCTCTGACTTTCTTAACACAAGTTGAATCTAAAACATCTACTCTCCTAAATGGATCATCAAAATTTTAACTATTTATAGGACTAATTAAAAATAATAATATTATTGTTTTATTATTACTCTTATATATATAAAAAAAAAATTACATTTATACTACACAATTAATTCTTATCTAATTTACATATCTAACACATAAAACTTCATTTTTATATTTACAGCATTTTGGCATTAAAATTTGTGCATGAATAGGCCTATTTTACTTTTTAAATTTAATGATAGTGATATTTTTATGAAATCAAATTCTTTCTGATTATTTAAAAATAATAATAATGATGATAACCGACTTTCACAATTAAATCAAAATAATTTCTTTAGTGCTAAATAAACAACTAAGTAACAAAAATCATAAAACATATGGGATTCAAATTCTCTAAAATTATCATGATTATTATATCGTATTAAGTTATCATTATCATTAATTTCATTTTATAAAGATGAGATTATTACCACCTAATCTTTTTTTTAATAGTATTCATATTAGGGAATATTTAATTCCGAACATTTAATTATTGTATTGTGCTCGAATGTGTTACATGTTGGTCGAATAAAATAAGAAAATATAGTGAAGAATCTCAAGGCGTCGAGTTCGAACTCGAATGCTCACCCTATTCAAAAAAAAAAAAAATAATAATAATCATTTAAAATGATTTGACTGAATAAAAAAAATCCATAAAAAATCATAATCCACTTGACAAATACAAGCTATTGAGAAAAAAATGGCACTTTTATTAAGATATAAATGTGCATACAATAATATGACATATTTGTAAATATTAAAATTTATATGCTATATATGTAAATATATAGGATCTGAATGGTATGGTAAGCATGTAGGGTTGTTAAAACGGCTCGTTGTTCAGAAACAACTCGTGTTCGGCTCATTAATTAGCTCGTGTTCAATTCATTTGCTAAGCAAATGAGCCGAATATGAACAATAATTTATTTGTTCAACTTGTTTTAGCTTGAAATAATATATATATATATATATTTATGTATATATATATATATGTATATGTATATATATATATATA